TAACTCAGCAGGATGCCCTCTTTATACCCTAATCTGAGTTCTTCATCTTCCCTTTGCTAAGAAAATTTATCTGAAACTTGGAAATAAGATGAAAGAATTATTGAATATCCTTCCAAGATCATAATAGAGTAGTGGTTCTCAAAGTATGGTCCCTGGACCAGTAGAATCAGCATCACCTGGGACTTTGTTAGAAATTCAAAGCCTTGGGTTCCACACCAGATCTACCGAATCACAAATTCTATGGGTAGGGCTCGGAAATAAGCCCTCTATGTGAGTGATGATCACTTAAGTTTGAGAACTACTGGACTAGAGCAGGGGTCTGCAAACTACTGCCTGTGGGCTAACTTCAGTCCAATGCCTGTTTATAAATAAAGTTTTATTGGAATACAACCACATCCATTTGTTTATGTGTTGCCTATGGCTGCCATTATAAGGAAATGGCAGAGTTGAGTAGTCTCGACAGATTTATGGTCCTCACAGCCTAAAATGTTTACTATCTGCCCCTTCACAGAAAAAAATTGCCAACCCCTGGACTAGAAGCAGTCTAATAAACTCTCCTAAGAGTCTGATTGTTTAGGGAAAGATAATTTTGTATGCGTTACCATTTACTATCTGATTCGGACCCAGATGGTGCAATGTTACATGTTAATTACAGAAAATCGATAAGTTGGAAAGGATTTTTGTCTGTCAGAAATGAAAATGATTTCTTGCCAGTAGAGAAATCAATAACAAAAGTAACAGTTTAATTTCCTTGTAGAACAATAACCAGTTTGGGATCTAACCTAGCAATTTTATTCCAGTATTCTTTCTTTCATTGACTATATGTCTACCATAGTCTTGCACATCTTCCTCTGAACCAGCTTTTTTAATTTTTTTTGAACTAGCTTTATAGTCTTCTGATTACCTTATGAATAAGTTAAATAAATCTTTGAAACATATTCACTATGTATTTTATGAGAGTCATGACTTTTTGAAATTTATACTCTGACACTGACAAGAGTTACTTCCTTTTATGTTCTCCAAGTCATTCCAAATCAAACCAGTTGCCATAGTCAGTTTCAACTCATGGTGACCCCGTGTGTTTCCGAATGGAACTGCTTTCCTTAGGGTTTTCATGACTGTGACTTATTGGAAGTGGATCATCAGGTCTTCTTCTGAGACCCTTCCGGGTAAGTTCAAATTGCCAATCTTTTGGTTGTTGTTGTTGTTATGTGTCGTTGAGTTGGACCTGACTCATAGCTACCCCTCCTTGGGTTGCCGAAGCAGTATTACTACAGAAGTAGATTGCCCAACCTTCCTTCCGAGGAATGGCTGGTGGATTTGAACCGCCAGCCTTCTGGTTAGCAGTCAAGTGCCTTAGGCACTATGCTACCAGAGCTCCTAATCTTTTGGTTAGTAGCCAAAAAACAAAACAAAACAAAAAAACAAATTCACTGCTGTTGAGTCAGTTTGACTCATAGCAACCCCTCTTTGGGTTTCTGAGGTGGTATCTCTATGGAAGTAGATTGCCCAACCTTCCACTTAACTATTTGCACAAACCAGGGATTCCTGTCGAAGTCATTACCTTCTCTCAATCTCCTAGTTAATTATTGAAACGAGTTCCTGTTGTACTCCTAAGCCAAATCAGTCTCCAATTCTCACCGGTTTTACCTTCCAGAGCTTCTCTTGGATCCATCCCCTTTACCGTGATTCCATGACTACTGTCATAGTTTAAGCCCTTATTCCCTTTTTCCTGAACTTTTACAGCAACTTCTAGCTGTGTAAATGGCACCAAGTTAATCTCTGAATGTCTGAAACCCCATCAGATCATATTTTCCCAAATAGTACATATTCTTGTGGGAGTGCTGGCGGTGCAGTGCCTAAGGCTTTGACTGCTAACCAGAAGGCTGGAGGTTCAAACCCACTAGGCACTCCTCGGCAATCCTGCCCTTCCTCCTTTGTATTCACTGTGCCTGTGTACACTCTCTGTGCCTTCCTTCCTATTGCTCTTCAGCCTAGAATGCCCTCTGCATTGTTTCTATTGGTCTAAACCTTAAGTATCTTTTAACACCCAGCTGGAAGCCCCATCTAGCTGATCTTCTACTAAGAAGTCATATCTCTCTCTTCTGATTCCCAACACATTTAATTTGTATCGATTTTATAACACATACCACTTCCTATTTTGTGACATGGTCATTTATGGACATTCCTATGACCTCATATTAGGACAGTATCCATAATCCAACTTTGTATTCACATTATTGCTTAACTGCTAATAGAGACAAGAGAGCCGGTATAAAGTTTTGAGTAACAGTTGCTGAAAAATTAAAATCTCAACTGAAAAAATGGTACCAAGTTAATTTTTGAATGTCTGAAATATCATCAGATCATATTGTCCCAAATAGTACATATTCTTGTGGGAGCGCTGGTGGTGTAGTGCCTAATGCATTTGACTGCTGCAAAAATGATCATCAATGCAAGTGTTTGTTCATGAAGCCCTAAACTTTTTGTTTGGCCTTTAATTGATTAAGAAAACATAAGGGATCCACACGTCTTTAATTGGGAAAGATAAATCAAAACCAAACCCTTTGCCATTGAATTGACATACAGAAAAGTTCAAAGAATGTACAATGGACACCCATGTGAATTCTACCATTAACATGTTGCGATACTTGTTTGATCACAAGTCAGTCCTTTTATCCATGTATCTATTATTTATCAACCTATCTTATTTTTTGGATGAATTTCAAAGTAAATCGCAGGCATCAGTGGCCAATTTAGGAAGGCGAGGACTTGAAGAATAACAGGAGTTAGCAATAATCTTTGAAGTTTGGTGAAAATACAGAGGTTTCATTTTATTGGACAGAATTAGTTCTTGCTTGGCCTTGGGAGGACATTTAGAATGCATTTAATCAAAACAACAAGCTACTTTTGCTGGCTGTAGACAGTCACCCACACACTCCCTTTCAGAGTAGTATCTACTTGTCTCTATTCATTTCAATGGCAGCTTTTGTTTCTTTACTGGCAGAAAGGAAGGTTTTGGGCCAGAGAAGAACAGATAACTGTGGAAGCCAATGGCAGCAGTAACTTCTCCCGTCTTCTGAGATTTTGAGACCCCAATGGACAGATGGGTTAGAGGCTGAGGTTTGCTTGGTTAGTAGTTAGTAGCGAGGTGGGGAGTCAGACTGCCTAGGCTTCCATTCTAGCTGCCTTGCTTACTGGACGTTGGACCTTGAATATGATACTCAGCTTCTTGGCCTCAGTTTTCTCAATTTTATATTGTTGTGGAGAAAATACATGTGCCTGGCATATATACCTCAACCATTATCAGTTGTTAAAACATAATTACTTGCCTTGATGACAGTGGCATCACTAGGGTTGATGTAACCTGGCGCTATAACTCATGGTGTCAGGCATCCCCCAGGACCTCCTCCTCTACCAGACCATACAGAAATAACACATTTAAATAGTAAATTAAAGCATTCATAGACAACCTGCTTCTAGGCCAGGGTTTCATACATAGCAGAGCAGCTTCCTCACTGAGATTTATTGAAAGCCCCTTTTCCAGGGGGTGTTGCAATTCAGGGGCCCTTCAGGATGGGTGCCTACCCTTGCACCCCTGAGGTCTGGGTTGACCAGCCCACTCTGTGGTGCGTCACACTGGTCCAAATCTCAGTGGGAATGAGTGAGGGAGAGTGTGATGCACCGGTGCTTTAAATAATATATTTAAATCATAAATTATTGCTGAAACACTGCACAAAAATTTTATAGGCAGTCATTTTGGTGTCACCTCCTCTGACAGTGTCACTTGGTACAGTCTGCACCCTTTCCACCCGCCTAGCTCTGGTAGCATAGTGGCTAAAGCACTTGATTGCTAACCAGAAGGCTGCCGGTTCAAACCCACCAGCCACTCCTCGGAAGGAAGGTTGGGCAATCCTACTTCCGTAGTGATACTGCCTCGGAAACCCAAGGAGGGGTCGCTATGAGTCGGGGCCGACTTGACGGCACATAACAACAACAAGTAAAGCAACTGCTTGATGAGTTTACTTGAAACTCACATAAAGTTAAATTATGTGACTGCAACAGTGGTGAAAAAGAGAAAGATGAGTTAAAAAAAAAAAGGGCAAGTAAATTATTTTGACAAGCAAGACTAAAAAGAATTCAGATGCAGGAAGGAGCAGTCCTGAAAGTTCTTCCGTTCCATTTAAAATTAAATCCAATTTCTTTCCTTTGTTTGCAAGCTCCCGCAGTATGCATCCTCTGCGTATATCTCCAACTTCATCTCCTCTCCTTCTGTCTTACTTGGCTTCAGCCACATCAGCCTTTGGGTTCCAGAATGAGCCACAGGTCATTTGCACTTGCCATTGCCATTTACTTTGCGTGAAAGTCTCTCTCTAGATCTTCACAAGCCTGGCAACTTCTCCTTCAGATCTCACTCAACTCAAAAATCATGGTCCTGACACACCTGTCCTGAACCCACCCTGTTCAGCACCCAACTCTCCAACACATCATAGCATTGTTTTCATGTCACTTATCAATATCTGAAATTGTAATTTACTTGTTTATTGTCCATCTCCTCTGCTCCCTGAGGGCAGGGACCTTATTTTGTTGGTTGATACTTGACAGTAACAGCAGTACATAGAACAGAGTTCCTCGCACACTGTAGTCACTCAAGAAATATGGATTGAAGGGATGAATGAATGTCCGGACGATGGAAGATTGAGAAGGGTGTGAAACAAATCAATGTTTAAATGCCCAGGGAGAGAATCCAAATCTTGGGCGAGGGCCAGGAAAGCAAGGGCTAACAGACTGGAGTTTGACAAGGGTGTAAACCCTAGGGCTGGAGGGGTTGGGGCTAATGCGGAGGCGGGGTGAGAGAGGGGCGGGGCTAGTGTGGGGCGGGGCCTACCGGAAGCCGGGGTGGAGTCTCGGAAATGACGCTACGCTCCTGCGGACTTCTCCCGGAGTTGGTTAAGTCCGCGACGCAGAAGCTGCGGTCGCTGCGCTCCCGGCCCTAGGCGATGGAGAACGGAGCAGTGTACGGCCCCACTACAGAAGAGAACCCGGGACCTACCAGGGGCGCCCGGAGCGGCCTCACTGCCTACTTCTCCCCGGGCCGGCTTCAGTGGCCCCGGCGCGTCCTCAAAGGCTTGCAGCTGGTGAGTGGGCGGCAGGAGCGGGCTAGCCCGGGCTGTGGAACGGGGTCGGGCTCCGGGGCCGTTGGCCTGCCGTCTTGAGAGGCTGTGGAGCCGCGTCTCTCAACCTAATTCTGGAAGCTGCAGTTTTCCCACCCCTGTTCCTTACCTCTTCTGGGGAGGGGATGTTAACCTTTGCGTCTTCAAAGGGTGAGGGTGGCCACCCTCACCCCCGATCTCTTTACTCCTGTGTTCCCCATTGGCGAACCAGGGCCACCGAGCGTGTCAGGCAGGTCCAGGAAATGCGTCGAAGGAGACCCAAGGCAGCCACTTAAACTTTCACTTATCATCTGAAGGCGACCTTCTTTCTCAGCTGATAGTCTGTGTTGTCGCCCAAAGTGCCTGTATTTAGATGACGAAGTGCTTTTTGTTTATTTTTCTCTGCTTCTTGCGGTTTTCCTGATGCGAGCCCTGGGGGCCGTTTAACGGACTGTGTCTTCCGATATCACGCACGGCATTGAGATGTGTGTGTCTAACTAATTAGTTCTCAAAAATATTAACTGGAAATATATTAACTGGAAAATAATTATTATTTCTGTACGAGCAGTACGTGTGTACGAGGAGGAAGGTCAAAAGAGCTTTTTTAGTGTGTTTGTAGGTAGCAAAACTAGGGCATAATATGTTTCTCTTTCTATTTCATGGAGTTTCATTTTACTTTCATGCAGTTAAACCTGTTGTTGAAAATAGCAAGACGTCGTTGAGGTTTACATAATTCAGCTACACATGTATTGAGTTCCTATGTCCTATTTTAACTTATAGGAGCTCTGGTGGTGCGGTCCTAACACATTTGCCTGCTAATCAGCAGGTTGGTGGTTCAAACCCCAGAGCTGCTCCGTGGAAGGAAGATGGGGCAATCTACTTCCATAAAGATTAACCGCCTCAGAAGCCCAGTGGGGTTCGCTATGAGTCGGAATAGACTTGATGGCAGTGAATTTGTTTTGGTTTATTTTTACTTTTGCAAGAGGACAAATTTAGGGAAAGTGAGAGTGCGTAGAATGCTTATATTTTGTTTGATTTTAACTATCCTAAGTAAAACTAGCCCATTGTTATCCGTTGGACGAATTTAAATGCTTTGAACTCAGATAACTAGAATTTAAATTCTTAGAAGTAAGATGACCTACTTTTGTTGACAAGAAAAACAATCAGAAAACTGGTGCTACTTTTTGCCACCAAAACAATCACATTTGTGAATGTTTGGGAAATCACTTGGAAGCAAATGGCAGTGTGGCCTTTTGAACCTAAGAGAACAAACCCTTTCTCCTGTCTCCCTTTAGATATCTCCACACTGGCCACCCTTAGGTTCCTACCAGGCATGAGTGCTCCCTGCTGCACTGACTGTTCTCCTCACTCAGGCTGTGCTTCCTTCTGTGCCTCTGGTCAGCTCTCATGTGACCCTTAGATATCAGACATGTTTTTCTTCTTTAGAACTAACATGTGTCTATCTACATGAATAGGAGAATATTTTAGAACAGAATTAATACCATCTGAGGCATTTTTGCTACTCAAAAGACATTTGTGTTGCTGCCCATTAAATCTCCTATTTTCACTTGTCATTACTTTTCCTTCCTTATCAGAAGTGGCAAAATTTATAAAATAAATAAGGTACTCTCATTGCGTTACTTATAATTTAGTAAGCTAGTTCCATGTCCTTCTGATAGAATACAACCAGAAATTTTGGTGGTAAACTTTTTACTTGGATGCAGAGATGAGAGAAAGATGAATTTGCCTTGAAGAAAGAATAACAACTAATGTCTCTCCGTGAAGTCCATTTATATGTGCAGGGGGAACTTGTAATGTTACAAGATTGCTTTCTGTAATAGATTTTTAAAAGTATCTTTTTTTTTTAAAGTATCTTTTCATTGTGGCCTTTCATTTTGATGGTTGTCTTTGTGTTCCTGTGCTGTCTGTTTTAATAATGTCTTATGTCGTCACAATAAGAGTATATTGCAGGAGTTACTCCCAAAGTTCGTAAGTAAATAAAAACTGTCAGCTAGCTTGGGGCAACAGGCAAGGTCTTCTTATTTTAAGGAGGACTCTAAATCGTTTTTTATGTTAGGTGATTTATTTTAAGACATAAAATAGAATCACAGAACTCAAGGAAGGAAACAACTGTAATCAGAAGAGGAGGTATTTTAACAAGAGACTTGCAAACCCCATGAAATTTTATTCGAAATATTGTACATTTATGTGATTGAGAATTTTTTCTGGGACCATAAATCTTACCAGATTCTCAAAGACCCCCCAAAGAGAAACGACCTCTGCTCTAGAACTTTAAAAAAAGATATCTTATACTTAGGAAATTCTTACATTGAAGTCCTAAGAATTGGCTTGCTCCTGAGGTTCTTTTTACTTTTAACCTTTTCTTGACTCATGGGACATATGTAACCCACCAATATTTCCAGCCTCTCACATTTCTTGGGAAGCTGCTATCTCAGTTGTGATACATGCTGCTGCCTGATGGGGACCTGTATAACTGTGTGAATAAAACAAAACAAAACAAAAAAGCAGAAAATAATTTGGTCATGAAATGGTTAAGATTTTTTAAAAAATCCGAGCCTCTGTTGGGTGTGTTGTGAACAGCAAAGGAGTAGTGAGCAGAGCTAGCAAAGGGAGGAAGGGGGAGTTAGAGATAAAAGAACATGTCTGTGCCTACCATTCAGATATTGCCTCACTTTTGTCAGAGACTTGTCCAAAATGTAAGCATCTCCTAATGGGAGCTCTGGTAGCATAGTGGCTAAGACACTTGCCTGCTAACCAGACGGCTGGCGGTTCAAACCC